AGAGATGGTATTATTAATATTGACATGACATCTGAGAATTTGTATTCTGTCTGCCGGACAAAAATTCGATAGACCACCGTTGTTGTCGTTATGCCAAGAAATATGTCTACATTTGTCTGAACAATGGAGCCATATTAATCTTCAATGTATACAGTAACTTATACAAAACTTAAAATCCTTTGGACGTAAATATTTTTGGAAATCCAAGGCATACTAATTGTGTTGATATTTATATTTATATTAAGTAGATGATGGCATAACTTATTCGAACTTTAGATTGACTGATTTAGTAATTCTTTTATGCGCTTTGATTGGTATGCTCGTTAAAGCAGAATCCTGAATAGTCGCGCTCTTTTTGAACTTGTTTACCAAAATGGAATAAAATTTTATTTTGTCCCTTTTTTTAATGTATATTTCTGCCCGATAGAACAATAGTATGTCGAATACTATTTGTGTAACATACAAAAGTTCATCCGCTGGGCGTAAGTTCCCACACATACTTATTTCTACCATCACAGCGGCATATTTCTCAACTTCTTCTAAAAATAAAACAACAAGAAACACATGCCGACAATTCTTTCTATTAAAATAGAACCTTCCGATGATAGTTTATTTTAGTGACGGTAGTATTTCTACTTTATCAGGAGACGACTATTCCACGACGTCTTCTCTTCCGTCTCCTCTTCCATTCCCTCACCATCTGCGACATCAAATAGCATATTTGCTAGAATGGATAATTTATATTCAAAAATGGCCACTGTCATACAAACCCTCCGCGATGGAAGATCAAAAATTCTATTCGGTTGAATGGATTAAATACAAGGCGTCTCTCTCCATACAAATAACTATATAAATTTTCAACTCCCGTGAAACTAACTTGGCGATTATTAGCCCGCACACCTCATTGTCTAAGTTTTGGGTTTGGACACCTTACAACATGAGTGGCAGTCTTCAAATTATGTCTACGGCTGTTGGCCCTGCCTGACCGTCAACTACTTAGTGGACGAAAAGCTAAGCGTGTAGAGGCAGAATATGGGCAAGAGAATAGACAATGTTGAAAAGTCTGCCCGTCACGAACTATACTCCAGCCATTCAATGCAAAACGACCTGTGTCTGCTGCGCGATGGCTGGAGGTTTTGTCGTCGTATAAGAACACTGCTTTCTGTTTAAAATTGTATAAGATTTAAACAACTAATTTTTGATAAAAATTTAAAAATGTAAAAACCAAAAATTTAAATGTATAAAACTTGGACACTGACGACACTCCAGCCATTTAATGCAAACCGACCAGTGTCTGCTGCGCGATGGCTGGAGGTTTTGTCGTCGTATAAGAACACAATGTTTTAATTAAAATTGTAAGATTAATATTTGTTAAATTTTTGATAGAATTTAAAATGTAAAAAAACAAAACTTTTCAAATGTTGGAACAAAACTATAACGCTTAACCAGAAAATTTATAGAAAATGTATTATAACAATTCTAAAAATTATTATCATTTATTTTCGATTTTTAATTAGATTACTTAAAGCAAAAAATTCTTAAATTCTTACATTATTATCTAACGAAGATTTTGCACTGTAAATTAAGCAATATTTTAAAATTTAAGTAATTGGTTAGTTAAGCATAGAATATTATTCCTCAGAATGTGTAGTTTTCAATTTAGTCGATATATAGCTCTGAACAAGTATGTGACAAAATGATTCAATAAAACATATTATTGTCTTTTTTACAACAACAATTATCTTGTAATAGACATCAAGTCATTGGTGCTTATCTTGTTGAGAGACGGTGTTTGTAGCAACGTTACTAAGTAATACGACATCATGCTATTGGTTCTGTGTTAATGTTCCACACTCTGCTTTAACTTCAAAAAGTCCAAATACACTTTATCTGAATGAAATCGATGTTACATTGCATTTATTTATAGATAAAGTTTCATTTAAGAACTCGCGTCTTTTTTCTATTTTAAGTTAACTGTTGTCAGCGGTAATACCATATAAATATACTCAGCTGCGAGAGTCGTCATGGAATTGAGTTTCTCTGTAACTAGTAACCATACAATACAACATCAATATTTGTTTTGGCAATATTTAATCCCGATATAAAGTTTACCATTTTGTAATATTTCCTCGTTTATTGTATTTGCAGAAAAAAATTAGGCGATAGTTTGGCATGACATATTATGTCTACCCAATCTCAAGAAAGAATTCAATCTTGTGTTAGTTTATAGATTTTTCTTGACATGGTTTTTGCTCGGCGTGATTGTGGGCAAACGTTGTTCTCGTCGTCATTAGTTTTGTGTTCGAATTATCGGCACTTGACTTTGACATTATAATCGAGTCTGGGTTTTCTGTTACGTCACCAAGAATGTCTCATGATTGTATTTGTAATACTTTCAGTTAAAATAGGCATGATTTTCTGAATAATTTTGATGCTAATATGGGTTATTATTAATACTATTTTCAATAATATTATTGTTCGAAAGTGTAACAACTTCGCGGCATATTCAGAACGGAAAATCCATCTTTGATGCTTAACTTCCCGACTCTGAATGTTTCAACCCAGCGGTAAATAGTATGTTTTTATTTCCTCTAACAATGATTGGCTGTCATCGGCCTTTTTACCATCCCGTCAGCCACCAAGAATAGATTATCTTTGGTTTTTGCGAGTAAAATTTTCTATCACTGCTATAGACAAGTTTCAAAAATATTTTCTTGACAACCATCAAATTAACATGGCGTTAGACAGTACGTTGTTGGAACCCTCGCTTTCGGCGTGCATTTATTTAGAGAGAAAACCTGATTGGTTGCGTATGATATTGATATAATAGACGTGGATGATCCATCATAATAATAATGCCCCGATTAATTCCGCGCGCGTTTACCATAAGGAAAAAAACCATCTTTAGCTTATGGTAACATTAATAATGAATTAAGGTAATCATTTGCCCTTATTCGGCGTGGGATGTACCATATTAATATTAATACTCAACTTTGTGTTTGGGCATTTGTCAAGAATACTCTTGCCTAATATATGATTGTTGTTTTGAGATAAGCAACACCAACGTTGCACAGTGCATGCCGAATATATGGATAATCTTGAATATGTAGTGACTATCTATTTATGTATATATTGATATGCGGCAACGAGCTAGCGAGTTTCTCCGAGGACTCGAAAGTCACATCCGCCAGCAAAGGGATGACGTAAGGAATCCTAGTTACCCTACCGGATCACGGGATAATATTGATGTATTCACTTTTTATTTTTGCCGTAAGATTTGTCTCATAATAATAAGACATGTGCCAGCGCAAAAGAAGTGTCGGCATGATGTATCCCAGTAACCCTATACCGGATCGCGGGATTGATGTATTCACTTTTAATAAGACATTGCCAGCAAAGGAAGTGGGATTACGACATGGTGTAAGGAATCCTAGTAAAGGCTAAATCGCAAGATGCAAAGTTTGCTACCGGATCACGAGACAGTATTGATGTATTAGTATTCACTTTTCCCCCGTAAGTTAACGAGATCCTTATTTCGTAAGATATCCCATTGTTCTAGTCTCGGCTGATCTAGTTCTTGCACACTTGTTTAGCAATGTTGTGCTTCTCGGCTGACCTGAAATAGAGTAGAATAATTCATGTTATCAGCTCAGCTAATCCGTCATATTTTATAAGGGACTGGCAACATCAGTGAGATTTGCACGGTATCTATCGTTTGCTCTAATCATCTTCTTACTTCTGTTTAGTGAGATGAATAGCGTTCTCAATAGAATCTTCAATAAACATCTATTAGAGCGATGACGGCAGTCTACGTCCATGAGGAACGATGTTTACAATCAGCCAAGTACGGGCATGGAGAGATGTTGCACGTTGGATTTTGGATGATTACGGCAAACAACTATCTACGATGAAACGGTTGAATCAGAATAATCCCTTTATCAGAGTGTGGACAATAAGGGGGCTTAGGGAGGTCCTCCGAAAGAGCGTATCGCCCCAGAACTACTGTGCTCACCCTTAAGGCCTCAGTCTATAATTGAAGCTTCAGCACACACGACGATGCTAATTGGGATGGCTCCGCTTATCAGGTTCAAAAGGGTTCTGAACCATTAAGAATGAGAAAATCTTTCTCGTTGCGTTTGCAATCCGATGTACGGCACGAAGACCACTAGCCGAAATATCTCCCAGTATAACACACTTGCAGTGTCCCGCAACAGCTTCACGGCCGACTTCTCTTCTTCGAGACGAGAATTATGGGCGAAAAAGAGAGAGCGTCACCACGTTCGAGAGAAGACGATAAATTCTGCTAATGAAGGGAATGCGATAACGACTGCAGCGTCAACAATGCCAAAGAGGCGAATTATTATTCCGCCAGTCACAAACAACCTTCAAATGGATAAGAGTTCCAAAGACAATATTTTCGAGTCACATCACAGAGTAAACCTTAGCGCGAATCAATGAATTCGATTATCGAAGACTAAGTATAAGTTGCTTGATAAACAGAGTGGTTTTATGGCTTACTGAGACAATGTTAAAGAGTGACGATACCTTTAATCAACTTGGAAGTGTATGATTGGACTAGGAACGGCCAAAGACGCTTATTGGGATGCCATATTAGAAACGTTGAGCAATGACGTTAAAGGACTAAAACATGGCTTGGCTAACTCTACAACCCAAGCTCTCGACGATCTCCGTGGAGAAATGAACAGGCCTTAGGAAAATTAGGAGCCTGTCAAGACCAATACGCAGGCCCTGTATTGAATGAGAATTCCCCATGTTAAACTGATACGGGTTGTAATTGATAATCAAGAGATCTACGGAAAGATAAGACGGACCAGTGCGTTGTAGAATGTTTTGGTGGGAATAGCTCGGTCCGTATGAAGCCGTTGCACCAGAATTTGCACGTTAGCAAGTATGGTTACATACCAAATGAGAGAATGAAGGTGCTCTATGGATCGTGGAACGACAAAAAGAATGGTCA